TTAGGAGGGTTAGATGCAATTCCACTTGCCCTCAACTGCTTTGGCCTTTACTCACTGCCCAACTTTGTCCGTATCATTGTCTACACTTGTAAAGTGTCCCTCCCTTCTAATTCTTAGTTTTAACAATAATAGCTACCACATACAAATATTTACTGTGTGCCAGACAATATTATCGAGGAGGCTGAGGCTTAAAGTGACCAAGTAACTTGCCCAGGGTCTCGAAGCTCCCATTTCACCATCCTGCCCCCCAGTATCCTATCCTTAAAACCCCAGCCCAATGCCGCTCCCTCACAGTCTTCTCTGATTTCCCCAACCAGATATGAGCTTTCCCTCTTGTCGATCCCATGATGCTCAATTCACCTTCTCAAGGCCTCCACTGCTTTGTACAGCAGGAATCAGAGCGTGTCTGAAAGAGCTTCAGTGAGCGCTCTCGTTCAGAGCACCAGGCCTTACACATGGTTGCAGTTAATCCTCCCCACACTCCTGGTTTTTTATGGTCTTGTCATTCTGCGTCCCTCTTAGCAGACAGTAAGTGCCACGGAGGACAGGGAGATTTATTACAGGCCTTTGCATGCTCCCCTGCCCCTAGCACAGGACTCAGCCCAAGCCGCTCACTTCCCAACTGGCAGTGACAGTTAACTCTAAACATGGGTGCCTCGGGGAGGAAAGACGAGCTGCTGGATTCCAGCAGGAGGTGGGCACTCTGAAAGAGGCCCGCTTCTGCTGTTGTGATTCACCCTCCTTTTTTGGCTTTCAGCCAAAGGGCATTCTCAGCAGTCTTTCTGAGGCCAGGAAGGCAGGGCCCCATACTGGACAGAAAGACAGAAGGTACAATTCTGGTTCTTGTCCTTATCTAACCTCTGCCTCTTCATACCACTGTTTGGAAATAAAAACAACACCTAATAGATTTTCCATGAAAATGGGGCATTACCAGGAAACAGTCCATTCCTTTGGCTGCCTTAAGTGAGGTGGTGGTTGGTGCTACAAAACTTTCTCTGGCCCATGAGTCATCTTGGAGCCTCAGGGAAGGGGTAAGGTTTCTTTCATGCTCTGCTCCTTCTCAGGAAGCTCGTGGATCTTGAACAGCACCTCCAGGGCATGCTCGCTTCTCTTTTCCCTGCCACTCTCTCAAATACCAACCTCTAACCCTATTTCAGTGTGTAAAATCTATTTGGAAACATCCTTCTTCAGGGATGCAGTAAGTTGGCTCCAGAACAACTGTGGTTTTAATAGGAAATCTACCTAATTGGTCTCAGATGAGAGATATGGGGCCCAGATTGCAGAGGAATCCACTTATGAGACTAAGGCATAATGGGCTCTTGGAGATTTCTTGTCATGGCCATGGGACGATGGCAGACTAGAACCATGTGCGTGAAGAGACTTAAGTGAGGCACTGTTAGGGGACCTTCCCAAGACATCTCTCTGGGCAGCAAATGGATGAGGAAGCTGGCATACGGACAAAGTTGGTTGGAAGGAAAATGCTCTCACATGCTCTAGAAAATTAATCCCCATCCCTATCTGAGCTATTCTGAAGAGAAGCTATTTTTTGGTTGGTGGCAAGAGAACCTCTCACTTTCAACTGTTCCTCCAGGACAAAATTTAGTGCGAGATTCTCTCTTCAAGGCTAAAGAGAAAATAAAGGGCTGGCCAGTTAGCTCAGTTGGTTAGAGCACAGCTTTATAACACTAGGGTCACAGGTTTGGATCCGCGAACTGACCAGCCACCAAAAAAACCAAAAAGCAACAGAGGAAATAAGATAAAGGATCAGTAGAAGGGGAAAAAAAATAACATGAGATGTCACGTGACTTCTTTAGGTAAGCCTAAACATCTCCGAAAAGGAGATAAAACATATCTTTGTCTCTATTAGAAAAAAAAAAAAAAAAAAAAAAC